TGGTTTTAAATGTATTGAATGGGTTAGGGATTAAGATCCATTCCCCCGACCCCACCCCACTGCTCACAAGGACAACTGAGTGACTAACCTTCTCCCAGTGTTTATAATGCCATATTTCCCCCATAAATTAGCTGTGGTATAAAGCACTGGGCCGCGAGGTCAGTGGTTCAAACTCGCCATCTGCTCCTCAGAGACCCTATAAAGGGTTGCTGTGAGTCAGAAATGACTCGACGACACTTAACAACAACATGCATCTATCATTTTAGCAATAGATCAGTACTGTCTTCATGAATATAATTATAATGTCTTTATATTTAGAAAAGCAGTCTTCCCTCTTCATTCTTCATACATTTTTTAGTTAATCTTATTTATTTGCATTTCCATACACATTTTAGAATTTAGTTCTCAAGTTCTATACAAAATAAAAAATAAAACAAAAATGTGTGGATGTTTGGATTGTGGTTTTATCAAACCTATAGGTTAGTCTTGGGACAATTCATATAATATATTATATTGGGCCTTACAATCCTTAAACACTTGACTTATTTAGGTCTTCTAAAATTTCCTTTAGTAATATTTGGCAGTATTTGATGTAGTGATCTTAGACATTGTTTAAAAATTTCCTAGTTATTTGGTGTTTATTGATGCCACTAGAAATGAAATCTTGAAATCTTTAAAAATCATGATGTATTTGAGATATTTACATGGAATGAAAAAGAATTTTAAATTAAGAACTTTGCTAAACTCACTTATTAATTTTAATATAACTATAGATCCCTTTTGATTTATCAAAAAAAAAATCTCTGAATAATGACAATATCATTATTACTTTTTAAATTATTATATATATATATATATATATATATTTATTTATTTATTTATTTTTTCCCTAGGAAAGTACAGATCCCGTGGTGGCCATAACGAATTGATGTAGTAGGCACATTTCGGCTGATCTTAAAGGTTGGACTTGTAGCATTTCACTATTACATGCTTTAATCTTTCAATAGATACCTTTTATCAACTTGTGGAGTTTCCCTTACATTCTCAGTGTTTTAAGAGTTTGATTTAAAAAAAAAAAATTATAAACATATTTCATTTTATTAAATGCTTTTCTTGTATCTACTGAGAGCGTCAAAAGCTTGTATTGATTTTTTAAATGTTAACCTACAACTGCAAGTCAGAAATAACCCTAAATTAAACATGATGTGTTATCCTTTTTATGCACTGCTGGAATTGAACTGCTAATGCTTCCGTTAAAATTGTTAGATCCTGTTTATGAGTGGAGTGACTTGTAGGATATACTTCTTTTCTTCAATATTTTTTATTTTGTTTTGTTTTATCCAGGTAATGTTTAGGTTGTAAACCATCTGGGAGGGTTTTCATTTCTTTTCCTTCTATCTGTTTTTTTTCCTAAAAAGAGTTTACGTAAGTTTTGCATTATTTCTACCTGAGCATTTAGGATAATTTCCTTGAAAATCTATATGGCTTTCGGATTTGTTTTGGCTGTCTCTTAGGCTGCTTGCTCTGGGGGGTGTTTTGATTTGTTTTTAAACATTTTATTGTGAATTATAGACTCTTCAGAGCAGATCAATTTTCGATTCAACAATTCATAAGCATTGTGTTTCATCTCTATGGTTGTAATTTCCCCCATGGAATATCACTTATCCCACTTCTTCTTTTGTGCTCCCCCCATTCTTCTTCCTCTCTGAACCCTTCTGAACTTTGTTCTTGGATAAATACTGCTCTTTGGATCTCAAATTGTTGTTTATTCGAAGGTGTGCATATCTCATTAGTGTTATGATGGTGCTGGTGGCTGTATGCTGTGGAGTCAGTTCCGACTCATAGTGACCCTGCATAGGGTCCAAGGCTGTAAATCTTTACAAGAGCAGAAAGCCTCATCTTTGTCCCATGAAAATGCTGGTAGTTTTATTGAACTGTTTACCTTGCGGTAAGCAGCCCAACTCGTAACCACTACGCTGCCTGAGCTACTCATTCAACAGCTGAAGGCATTCGAATATTTTCAGTTCAGGGTGATTATGAATAAAGTCACCATAAGTATTTGTGGACTATATGGACATATATTTTCATTTCTCTTGGTTAAATACCTAGATATAGGGTCACTGCTGGGTTATATGGCAGGCACACATTGAACTTTATAAGCTACTTTTAAAATTCTGTTTCTTGATATAGCTTCTTAAATTCCTTTTTGATACTTTGATCAGTTTTTGAAATCTTCTGTAAGATTTCTCATCAATTATTATTTTTATTTGTTCATGCTTTTTGTTTTTCTACTCCTAGGATTCAACTAATCCTTACTGTAACCTCTATGTCTATAAGCCTATTTTCTAGAATTTCCATTATTTTGCTTCATTCTGAAAATGTTCTAACATATCTTCTACTTGCTAAATATTTATTTTATTTTAATAAATGTATATAATTAACTTTTAAACTTATCTTCTATTGTACTTAATTTTGATTAATAGATAGTTTTAATTTCAGAATTTCCATTTCATACTTTTTTTCTTGTGTCCATTCTTTGCTGAAATTCTCAATGTTTTCTTTGATCCTCTTGGGATCAAATATAATATCAAAAAATATATACATATTTACTTGTAGTATGTGCCTTTGAACTCCAACAATTGGAGTCCTTGTGAATGTGTTACTACTGGTTACTATACATGCTTGTAATATTTATCTTATTTTGTGTCCTCAAGTGTCTATTTATTTTTTATTAGGATTGAGTGAAAAATGTTTTGTAAAAATACTTTGAAGTGTAATATGCTGCCATTATCTTTCAGGATAAATTGGCTTGCTCTTCCTAGATACCTGTGTGCCCTAGCAATCATGGACCATCTCTATTAAAGTTCAGGGTTGAAATACCTCACAGGTGAACTGCGGCTACTAATTCTCGTTCACAATCACCCTCAGGATGCGTGCGCACAGACCTCACCCGATGTCTTAGCAGGTCTTGGACTCTAGTCTCTATCCAAGTAATCCTGAAATGGAATAAAATACATAGCTGCCTTTTCAGGGTAAGGACAGTGCCCTTCATGTCCTTAGGAGAAATGTCTAGAACATGAGTTACTTGCTTCAGCCTCCACTGGATACTTACTGTTTCAATTCTACCTCAGTATTTCACTGGCTGCAAAGTTCTCTAGTGTCTTGAATCACGGTTTTAAAAAAAACACCCTGTGTACATTTCTTTTTCTTAGAAGGATGGTTGATCAGAATTTTCCATTCAGCTATTATAGGGTTAATTGGTGACAGAAATGGTTTGTGTTAAGCAACTACTAGAAAGGCTGGCAGTTTGCACCTACCCCATGGTGCTATGGAAGAAAGACCTGGAGACCTGTACGTATAAAGGAGTATAGCTAAAAAATCCCAAAAAACAAGAAAACAGTACGGACCCCATTCTATCGTACAGCAAATCTTGTCACCATGAGTTGGAATCGATTTGATGGCATTCAGGTTCTTATTTTTGTTTTGTATTTTTTACATCATTGATTTTGCTGTGAGAAAGAGATCAACTGTTTTAGCTACTACTAGTAGACCACTTTTTTTTTTTCTCTCTTTCTTTCTTTAGTGTGGGTGTACTTATGTATGTGCCCTCTCTTCTTATCAACAGGATGCTTTACTCTCCACTCTAGTCCTCTCTGACTATGTCGCTGACTCTGGGTCCAAGAGTCCCCTGGACTTGGCACACTGCTGGCCAACCAGGTCTCCATCTGGGTTCACAGGAGTCTAGTGAGCGTTGTAGGGCTTAGCTCGCCGCTTCACTGCTGTTTTCCCCTCACTTACCCTTATGGATGACGAGCATGGTCACCAATCAGAGCGTGTATTCCCATTGAGCCTTAGTCTTAGAAGGGGGTTTGCCTTGAGGGGGACCCGACCACTTGCCTTGATGTCTCCTGAGCGAGCCACTTGTTTGTTCTTGTAATCAGTCGGCCTGCTTATATTGTTTTGTATTTTTCCTGTCAGTCTTTCTTTCAGGATGTATCTTCTGTTCTTCTGGCCACTACAGGTTGTTCTGCTTGCCCTTTCAAGTGGACCTTTCCCCTCAGAAGATTCTGGATGCTGTTCAGGATTCCATCTATGGTCTTGTGTAATGCAGAGACTCCACAGGAAGCCTCATTCTCTGGGCACGTTGTATCCCCCTTTTAGGTATTCCAATTAGTTATAGGCAGAAGACGGACTTACAAGCTTTCTATGGTGGTATTTCGGGCTATTTCTTAGTAGACTACTTTTAAGGAGCCCTGGTGGTATAGTGGGTTACACGTTAAGCTGCTAAAATTCATAGCAGTTTGAATCCACCAGTTGCTCCAAGAGAGAAAGATGAGGCTTTCCACTACTGTACAGATTTACAGCTTTGGAAACCCTGTACAGGGACGCAATGAGTTAGACCCAATTTGATGGTACAAAGCAGTAGCAGACAGCTTTTGAGTACAAGCATCCAAACCCAGTACTAGACTTGGTCATATTCTCAAATTAAATACCTAAAGCCAAGTTTCCATTTAGTATTTCTTTACTGGTTTTGTTTACATTTCTTAGCGTTTATAAAAAGAAAAATGCATTTTAAAATCAAACATGCTATTACAACATCTGTGTCATACCTTTGTTAAGTATAAGAGTGATTTTTATTGGTGCGATGCTATAGGATACGGACTAGACTATAAACCACAAGGTCAGCAGTTTAAATCTACCAGTTGCTCCTCAGAAACCCTCTACAGGGTCGCTATGAGTTGGAACTGACTTGACACCACTTAATAACAACACTCCATACAGATCTCTGCAACGTAAAGTAATCTGGACTCTATTCTAATCCTTTAATTTAAGCAATAATATATTGACAATAATCCCTGGAGTGAAATTTGGCAGTTTATATTCTATTTTCTAATTCTTAAAGTCACTTAATTTTTAAATTTTATTCCCAGTCTTGATAGAAAGTTTACACAGCTTAAACTTTTTTCTATTTACTTCCAAGAAGTTTAAAAAGTGCTTACCATTTGTGATGGAATTTCCATTTTCTGCAGTTATACAACTAGACAGTGAATTAGATAACTCAATCCCACGGTTATTTGCATTTCTGTCTTGAGTCTCTGGTGTAATTTCTGATGCACTAGGATCCTCCTGGCTAGTTAAGTTCATGTTAGTTTCATAACCTAAAACAAAATTGAGAAAAGATTATACTTCTTCTGATAAAATGCACTGAGTCAATTGAATAAAATATTTAAAAATGTATCACATCAAATAAGAATTAAAGTTGAAAATTTAAATTATAAACAATTTTTAATCACAGTATGTCCTATAAACTATCAAATTTTACAACAATACAGTTAAACCTAACAGGAAATGTTGAATGCTGATCATTAATTTTATTACAGTTTGTGATTTTCATATAAAGTTATACATAATTTTTGATGTCATCAGCCTAACAAGTTACAATTACAGTATTGCTCATCTTGAGAAATGTATTTCCCGGAAGAACCATGGCAATATTGTTGTTATTAAGTGCCATTGAGTCAGTTCCAACTCATAACCCTGTATAGGTTTCCAAGAGCAGATGGTGAGTTTGAACCACCATCCTTGCAGTTCAAACAGACCTTGCAGTCCAGTGCTTATCCTTCAGCTGCACACCATTTAAATAGACCTGGAGCAATCTTGCTAAATATGGGGCTCTTATGCTAAAGGTCAAGGAGCTCTGGTAGCGTAGTGGTTACGAAACGGGCTGTGAACTGCAAGGTCAGCAGTTTGAAACTACTAGCTGTTCTGAGGGAGAAAGATGAGGCGTTCTGCTCCCGTAAAGATTTACAGCCTTGGAAACCCTGTACAGGGTCCTTGTGAGCAGAACCGACTCCATGGCACACAGCCACCACCGTAACCACTCTTAAAGGTCAGTAGCCAGAACCTACCAGCTGCTTCCTTTTAAGGTTATACCTTCGGGAACTCTATGGATCAATTCTGTCCTATAAGGTCACTTAGACTCAGAATCAACCCTGTGAAAGTGACTCTGTGAGTCAGAACCTACTCAGTGACAGTGGGAGGGAGGGGAAGGGGGGAGCAATCTCAGAGCTTTGAAAAAATATATATTTATAGCATTATAATAAAAGTTGTTAGTATGCACTTACAAGGAACTCAGGTGGCCCAGAGTTAAAGCACTTGACTGTTAACCAAAATCTAGGCAGTTTGAACCCACCAGCCACTCCCCACATAAACATGTGGCAGACAGCTTCTGTAAAGGTTACATACAGCCTTGGAAACCCTAAGGGGCTACTCTGTCCTGTCTGGTAGATATGAGTTCCCTGATGAGACATTAAAAACAACTAACCATTTAGGAATATTAAACTTCAAACACTGCTTCTGTATTTCGTCACAGACATTTTTAGTACCTAATGTTTTAAGTTCCTAATGTTTTAAGTACCTAATGTATTTAGAACCTAATAGTATTAAGTGCTCTGAGAAAAATGAATACAACAGAGGTCATTGTCCTGAATAAAAAGGAAGGGGCCAATAAAGTCTTAAAAAATACAGTGTTAATAAACTAGTACGTATATATTGTTGTTGTTAAATGCCATCAAGTCAGTTTTGACCCATAGCGACCCTGTAGAGGGTTTCTGAGGATGGTTGGTGACCTTGAACCACTGCCCCTGCAGTTCAAACCCACGTTGGAGTCTAGCGCATTAACTCACAGCACCACACCAGGACTCTGATATATAATGTAGTGAATGCTTTGTTGTTGTTGTTGTTACGCGCTATTGAGTCAGTTCCAGCTTATAGTGACCCTGTGTTTCCAAGTAGCAGTGGGTGAATTTGAACTGCCGACCATGGTGGGAGCAGTCCAGTGATATGTCTGAATTAAAATTGTAGATAAAATTATATTTATCCTCAGTTAAGGTGGATCAGTTACTCGAGTTTCAAAGCAAGCACATTAGTGTCACTCTTTACCTCTCCCCACTCTACCTCATCCTTCACCTGAGCCAGGTCCTCTTCAGACTGGTCAGGAGTACCTGGGATTGGCCCCTGCTTGCAAGGAACATTAAAACAGCTCCAGCCTACTGACAGAGTTCTTTTGAATGTCAAGGGGCTGTGTTATGTTTCTTTTCTGTGTCTCTTGATATATAGTAGATTCTGGCTGTGTGTAAAGTTAGGTCTTTCTGAAGTTTTAGGTTAAGAAACAATTCAAAAGGCATACTAATCTTAACTGGCTCTATTTTACTTTACATATGGCAGAACAAAATTTGTTATCTAACTTGATCCCAACAACCAACACTCCAGTAGGGAGAGACATTATTCCGATTTTACTGAGAAGGAAATCAAGGTTACTCAAAGCTGGAAAGTATTTGAATGAAACTTTTATGCGTGTCTTCTGATATTAAGTTGTTGTCATTTTACTAAAAGACAAATTAGACTAAGGAAATTCCATGCTTTCAATTGCTATTCTCTAAAAGAAAGGTAGAGATCACGAAAGAGAGATAGGAAGAAAAGAAAAATATAAAGAAAGGAATAGGGTGAATGCATCCCATAGAAGATCTTTCAAAGCTCTTCCTGTATTGAGTCTTATCTGCTTCCTTGACATTTCCCCTTGTTACTTGAAACATATACTCACATGTAGCTGTTGTTAAGTGCCACTGAATCAGTTCTGATTCACACTAAACCTATATAGGGTTTTCAAAGAGCAGCTGATGGGTTTGAATTGCCGACCTTGTGGTTTGTAATCCAGTCCTGATCCTATAACACCACACCAGAAATTCTATATATACTCAAAAAGCAGTACACATAATGAGCATTTTTCTAAGTACCCTATATTGGATCGGGTTTTAGTGCTTTGGTATCTGCATTCTGTCTGCCTGAATAATCTTCTCGCTTAAGCCCACATCTTCCTCCTCACTAGTCGGGCATTCATACATATCACCTCCTTAGTGATAGCTCATTTACAAGTTAGACAAACAGCACAGGGAGCAACACGGTTTTCCCAGAAAGGAAGGTGTGTCAAGATCTAGAGGTAGATAATGCTGTATACATAGAATGAAGGCAAAATTACCAGGGCTTTGAAAACAAAGCAGAAGAGTTTATATATCATTGATCCAATGAGCCATTGTGGCTCCTGTCTCTCTAACACTTAAAAACAAAGTCATTCAGTCAAGGTGACACTCATAAAAACTGACAACAATGAAAACTCAGGCTAATCTTAACTTGACAATGAGCAATTATTGAACAAGAAAGAATATCTGTTCAATTTGATAAACTTTTTTTTTTTTTTTTAAATCTTCTGAAAATCAGTAGAACAGAAATGGTTTGGCATTTGCCTTAAAGTACAATCACTTGTTTTTATTTCTAGTTAAAGTAGTTTTCATGGTTAAATTCAGGTATCTATAGAGCATCTGTCTGAGGCTGACTAGATGCTGTAGGTACAATGATGAACGGGACAGACCTAGAGCAAAGACTGCTCCTCTTGGGGACGTGGTACGGCCAATGAACACAAGCAATAGCTACCCATGGTGGACCCCAATGTGGTGAAGAACAAAATGGACAGTGAGGGGTGGTCATTAAACATTTTTATACAGGCTGAGTTTGGAAAACTTCTCTAGGAGGTAATATTTCCGTTCAGATGAGAATAAGGAATGCAATCCTCTGATGGCCAAAAGGTTGGAGATCCTAGCCCACTGATGCTCCATGGGAGAAGGAAGCAGCGGTCTTCCTCTAAGACGGTTTGCAGGCTTGGAAACGCTAGGGGCAGTTCTACTACGTCCTACAGTGTCTCTGTGAGTAGGCACCGACTGGTTTTTGTTTTGGAAGAACACGGAAAACAAACCAGACATAGAGAAGAAAAATAGCCATCACATACCTTAGTAAAGTCCCTAAAGTGGGATATTGTTGTTGGGAGCAATTGAGTGTGGTGAGTGGAACTGCCCCATGGGAGTGTTTTGACCTGTTACCTTTATGGAAGCAGGTAATCAGTTGTTTCTCCTGTGGAACCATTGGAAGGATTAGAATTATCAACCTTTTGGTTAGTAGCCAAGTGTGTAACTAGGGAACTTAGAGACTGAATTTTAAAGGAGCTAAGGTCAGTGTGGTGTGAAGGATTAGCCTTGGACTGCTAACTGTAGGATCAGTGGTTCAAATCCAACTGCCACTCCTTGGAAACCCTAAACAGTGTTGCTATGAGCCGGGACCAACTCAGTGGTACTCAACAACGATGATGAGGTCAGTGGGAGTCGAACGACTTGGGAAAGGGAACACAAAGAGGTAAAAGAAAGGACACAAGGTCTAGGAGACATCACAGACAGGAATTTAAACTGTACTTTTAACATCGTGGAAGGCTAGCTAAAGATCTGAAGCAAGTAACTCACACGATAGATGGGAATGTTGCTATTAAGTGCTGTCCAGATTTTTGACTTATATGACCCCCTGTGACAAGTAGAAACACCCCACACAATTTTCTAGGTTACATAGGGTATTCTAGGGTTTTCCATAATCTTTTGGAAAGGACACTTGGTGGCGTTTTAGAATAAGCTCTAGTCTACTAACTGACAGGTTGGCAGTTCAAACCAAACAGCCTCTGCTTTAGAGAAAGATGAAATTTACAGCCTAAGAAACCCTACCCAGGATTGCTATTAGTCAGAATAGACTAGATGGCAGTAGGTTAGGTTGGTTTGGAATCTTTATGGAAGCAAATTGCCAGGTCTTTCTCCCACGGAACTGTTGGTGGGTTCAGAATCACCAGTCTTTCCGTTGGGAGTCAAGCACTTTGCCATTGTGTCATAAGACCTCTTTCTTGTTGTTGTTAAGACCTGCTGAGTCACATCTGACTCATAGTATAGAGTTTCCAAGATTTTTGAAATCTTTGTGGAAGCAGAAAGCCTCACCTTTCTCCCACAAAGCAGCTGGTGGTCTTGATCCACTGACTTTGTGATTTTCAGACTAGTGAATATCCTTTGGAGCCACCGTGTTCCCAAGGAATTCTTAGTCTTACTTTATCTACTATAGGCTTACTCCTCTGAGACACTTAGGTGATTTGACACTAGTAATTGATGTTGTTGTTCAAATAGGTTCCAACCCATAGCAACCCTGTATAGGGTTTCCAAAGAGGTGCTGGTGAGCTTAAACTTCCAACCTTGTTGCTCAAACCAACTTTGCAGTTATAATGGCTTGCAAATCAGGA